CTAATGCTCGTTGGCATTTTGGGGTCCAAGCAAAATCATTCTTCTTTTTGAGTAGAGAGAAAAATTTGTGACTTCGATCTGATGATCTCGAAATGAATCGACCTAAGGCTGCAATCTGTCCGGTCAGCCTTTGTACGGCTTTCACGCTATCCACGATGGTGATGTCTTTGATGGCCTTGATTTTCTCGGGGTTTATCTCGATTCCTCGGTTTGATACCATGAAGCCGAGGAATTTGCCCGAACCGACTCCGAATGCACATTTTTCGGGGTTGAGTTTCATGTTGTATTTTCTTAAAATCTCGAACGTTTCCTGCAAATGGGTTAAATGATCCTCTGCGCGCAGGGATTTAACTAGCATGTCATCAATATATACTTCCATCGATTTAACTATTTGTTTTTCGAACATTTTATTTACTAAATGTTGATAAGTAGCTCCTGCGTTTTTTAGCCCGAAGGGCATTACATTGTAACAGTACGTTCCATATCTGGTTACAAATGCCGTTTTTTCCTGGTCCTCCGGGTTCATCTAAATTTGATTATACCCGGAATAGGCAGCGAGAAACGTGAGGATCTCGTGAACGGTCGTGGCATCGATCATGCGAACGATGTTGGGTAGTGGAAAGAAATCTTTCGGGCATGCTTTGTTTAAATCCTTATAATCCACACACATTCTAAGTTTGTTCCCTTTTTTAGGTACTATAACTACATTGGCTAACCATTCGGGGTATTTCACTTCCCGAATGGACCCTATTTTAAGAAGTCTGGTTACCTCATTCTTTATGAACGCGTGCTTTACCTCCGATTGGGGTCTTCTCTTTTGCTTCACCGGTCTAAACTTAGGGTCCAAACTTAGTCGATGTGTCGTTATGCCCGGGGGTATTCTTGTTATATCTAAATGGGAACAGTCGATGTTATTGATAAGAAACTGAATGAGTTTTTTCCTGAGTTCGGGGATCAAACCCGTTCCCAGGTATACCTTTCATTCGGGCCAATGTTCGATTAGTGTGATTTGCTCCAGTTCCTCAATAGTTGATTTGGTGGCATCGGAATCATCGGGGTTTACGAACGATCGAGGAGTCCATCGATCGTCATCTTCTCCGATGTTCTGCTTATCTGGCTGGGCCGAAGCTGATGTCTGTGATTGCTATTTGGCGCTCTGTTCTTCGATTGTATCTCCTTCTAAACCCGTTCCTTTTATCGGTGAGGACGAAGATATTGATTTTGTTTCCTCGACGGTGAACATTTCCTTCGCGGCTGGCTGTTCCCCGTACATTATTTTATCACCTCTCGATGTTGGTAATTTGAGGACCTGGTGTAGGGTCGAAGGTACGGCTCTCATGCTGTAGATCCATGGCCTTCCGAAAATGGCATTATACCTCATATCGCCTTCGATCACATGAAATTTTATTTCCTGAATGGTTCCGGCCACGTTTATCGGTAAGATTATCTCGCCTTTTGTGGTTTTATATGCCATATTGAATCCGTTCAGAACCAGAGTTGCAGGTATGACCTGGTTCTGTAAGCCGAGCTGTTCTATGACCCTTGATCTGATGATATTGGCTGAGCTACCTGGATCAATTAGCACAAGCTTAATTTTAATTTTATTCACGAGTACGGATATTACCAGTGCATCATTATGGGGTTGGGTGATTCCTTCTGTATCTTCATTATTGAAAGACAAGGTCCCTGTGGGTATATATTCTTGAGTTCGAGATCGTTTTTCCTTGACAATAGATGTTCTAGCACATTTAAGAACTGGTCCCTGCGGGGTATCGGCGCCGCCGATGATCATGTGGATGACGTGTTGCGGTTCTTCCAGCACATTTTGCTTGTCGAAGTCCTTGCTCTTGAAATGATTCTTCGCCCTATCGCTCAAAAATTCCCGAAGGTGCCCTTTGTTAAATAAGCGGGCTATTTCCTCTCTTAATTGCCTGCAATCTTCGGTCCTATGACCATGGGTGCCATGATATTCGCACATTTGATTGGAATTCATTCGGGCAGGGTCGGTCTACATAGGTCGAGGCCATTTAGTGTCTTCGATGCGTCCGATGGCTGACACGATAGCAGATGCACCGACGTTTAAGTTGTATTCCGACAATCGAGGGGCTTCTACAGGATCGGTACGTTTATCGAAGCTGCTTTTACTCATCAGTCCCCGGGAATTTTGTCCCCGGTCGATCTTTTCATTATTTCGAACTGTATTGCATGCTGAACCGTTGTTTATCCGATCTGTGACGTACGGCCGATATCGATCTTAGTTTGACCTTTGAACCCTGTCAATTTCCCTTTGATTTTTAATAACTGTTCTATTCCGATAAACGGGTCCGTATAGAGCCCCCAACTGATCATCCTCGACCCTAAGCTTCGATTGATATCGGTTGTGTACGTCTGCCCAGGTTATTGCTGGTTACTCGATCAGGTTTTGTTTTAGCCGATGTGATGATGTAGAACATAGCTGGTTCAACCCTTGGGTGAAAGCTTGGACAGCCCAATCGTCTGTGACTGGGGGTAATTCCATACGTTCCATTTGAAATATGGATACGAATTCCCTCAGCATTTCATTCCCCCTTTGTTTTACTATAAAAAGGTCTGATTTTCTTGTTGTAACCTTTATGGCACCAGCATGTGCCTTTACGAACGAATCCGCTAACATGGCAAAAGCGTCGATGGAATTCGGCGGTAAATTGTGGTACCAAATCATTGCTCCCTTCGAGAGAGTCTCCCCGAATTTTTTTAACAGCACGGATTCGATCTCCTCGTCCTCCAAATCGTTGCCTTTTATGGCACACGTGTAAGAGGTGACATGTTCGTTGGGATCGGTCGTACCATTATATTTGGGAATTTCGGGCATACAGAATTTTTTGGGGATTGGCTTCGGTGCTGCACTTGATGGAAAAGGCTTTTGTATGAATGTTTTTGAATTAAGACCCTTTATCATTGGTGGAGCCCCCGAGATTTGATCGATCCTGGCATTATAAGTTTCCACCCTTTTGTCGTTGGCTTTGACTCGTTTTGTAAGTTCCTCGAGCAATTTGGTAATTCCGGGGGTAGTCCCCGATTCTTGCTCGTTAGATTTTACTACTGCGGGCTCTGTTCTGGGGGTAGCTTCTTGAAGTGGATCGGACTCCGGCCCGTGTTGTGCGCGAGTTTGACTCTGTAATTAAGCTATCGTGACTTGTTGGGCTTGTAGCATCTCGAAGATCATACGCAGACTGGTCCCGATTTCCCCCGCATTTTGTGTGTCTTGGGCTACGGATCAAGCTCCGCCCTGAATGCTTCTTTCCTATTCCGAACGTTGATTTGCCTCCAAAGCTATTTGCGAGTTGACATCCAATGTATTTCAGCTCGAACCTCGGTGCCATTTTCAATTGGCCTTCCGGCCATGGGTGCCAAGTTATTGGTTTCATCTTGAAGGCCGGCTTCGTTATCGATTGGTGAAGCCATTTGATGGTTGTTTGTAGTGTTTTTTCAGATTTGTATCAAATAACCACTGTTATCCTCGGCCCCACGGTGGGCGCCAAACTGTTTACCCGAAAAATGAATATAGTTGAATTTATACGTAGTTCCAAGAATATGTGGTATAATTTGATACGAAAAAATGTAATGATAAATATCAATGTGACTTTAGATTTGGAGAAAATACAATACAGACAAGATTATCTGTTACAAATAAGTCTTAGAATTTTCCCACGGTGGGCGCCAAACTGTTTACCCGAAAAATGGATATAGTTGAATTTATACGTAGTTCCAAAGATATGTGGTATAATTTGATACGAAAAAATATAATGATAAATATCAATGTGAATTTAGATTTGGAGAAAATACAAGACAGACAAGATTATCGGTTACAAATGAGTCTTAGAATTTCACAAGATGAAATCAATCTAAGAAGACTGAAAAAGAGATGCTTTACTCTCCAGAAATATGTTGCTTTGTGTTACAATGTATGACTTTGGAAAAACCCCCTGCTTTCAGAGGTGGTAGCTAAGCCCCTTTTATATTGGAGGGAATTGGCTCCAAGCATAATACAATAACCTTCAGTGGGAGATCCATGATGAGCCAGCTTTTCCGTGATTTATGCCAAGATTCTTTCTAGTGGGATTGCAACGGTTCTTGTCTGTGAGCTCGATCTTGCTGGAAGATGCCCGCTTTGGTTTAAGCTCGATTTCAGTTCGAGCCCGATCTTGGTCCGAGCCCCCAAGTTGCTTCGAGGTCAAGGCCAGTGCTGGCTGGTATATCTATTCTGTGTCGATATCTATTCTGTGTCGACTGTTACTCGAGCTTGATAATGGTTTTGGCACGGGTCGGCCTAATCGGATTCAAGATTTGGTTTGTTGCACCTTCGGGGTCTTGCTTCAACAGGCCATCGTTCGCAATCGATCGGTCGTGTTAAAGCCGAAATCTATTTCGATCGTACACAATGGATGGGATAAATAATTAAATACAGAGCTACCATGTGTTGTGCACTATGTGAAAAATAGAGCTGCAAAATGCAGGCCCATAAGTAGGCTGGGGCAAGCGGTCAAGTAGGCCCAATGCATTTTGCATTTGATGACCCAATAAACAGGCCCAAAACGATGGCCTCATATGTGTGTTTGTTCGAATCTGTAAATCAGATCTTGAAACACCCCCTTTCATCTTCTTTCATAGTCTTCGACTCCAACACCCCCCCCTTCAAGTTAGAGGGGGTTGAAAACACACCCAACTTGCCCAAAATACTACGATGAAGAGGTCCTGTGAGCGGTTTTATGAAGAGATCAGCCAACTGAGCAGAAGATCGAACAAATGATAACGAAATCAAGCTAGCTAGGTATTGTTCGCGCACAAAATGGAAGTCGATTTCAACATGCTTTGTCCGTTCGTGAAAAATGGGGTTTTTTGCTATGTGAATTGCTGCTTGGCTGTCGGAGTGAAGAGTGACTAGAAGGTCAATAGGAATTGAGAGATCCTCAAAGAGACGAACCAGCCATGTAAGCTCTGCAACTACGCATCTCATAGATCTATATTCTGCCTCTGCCGAACTTAGTGAGACGGAAGTTTGCTTCTTGGATTTCCAAGATATCGGAGAGGTACCAAGAGAAAATGTATAAACCACTCATCGATTTCCTTGAGTCCGGGCAGGTGGCCCAATCGGAGTCACAAAAGGCTAGGAGCTTGAATGAAGAGGAAGAAGACATAAAAAGCCCAAGCCTGGGATCTTTGAGCAGATAGCGAAGCACACGGAATGTTGTTTCTAGGTGTGGCTGTTGTGGGTCCTGCATGTACTGGCTGAGGTGCTGGACAGTGAAGGATAAGTCTGGGTGGGTATGAGTAAGGCAGTTGAGTTTGCCAAGTAGATGGCGATACAAGGTGGGATCCTTCACTAGTTCCCCTGTGTGAGTAGACAAACGAGTAGATGGATCGAGTGGAGAAGAAACAGATGACAAATAGAGGGAGTCAAATTCACGAAGAAGGTTTAAAGTGAATTTGCACTGAGAAAGGATGAGTCCATCTGTTTCTCGGATAACTTCCATCCCTAGAAAAAAATGTAAGTCCCCAAGATCTTTAATTTTGAATTCTTGATTGAGAAATTCTTTCAACGCATGTAATTTTGCATTGTCATTTCCTGTCAATAGTATATCATCTACATAGATAGCCACTATAGAAATGGAAGAATCTGGCCTTTTAAAGAACAAAGAATAGTCGTTTAATGAGTGAGTGAATCCCTTAAAGTTCAAAGCAGTGGTAAGTTTAGCATACCACTGTCGAGATGCTTATCGTAGCCCATAAATCGATTTCTTTAACTTGTATGCATGAGTGGGTGAAGGAGGTGCAAACCCAGGTGGGAATTTTATGTACACTTTTTCATTTAGATCTCCATGTAGGAAAGCATTATTCACATCAAGCTAGTATAGGCCCTATCCTTTCTTTACTGCAGTGGCCAGTATGAATCTGATAGTGGTCATCTTTACCACAGGTAAAAAAGTTTCATTGAAGTCTATTCCCTCTTTCTGTATGTCTCCTCTAATGACCAATCTTGCCTTTAATCTTTTCACAGTACCATTTGAATGTTGTTTAACCTTATACACCCATTTACATAGTAAAGCTTTCCTCCCAAGTGGTAACTCAACTATTTCCCAAGTTTTATTAAGTTCAAGTGCCTCAATCTCTTTGTCCATTGCTTCTTGCCATCCTGGGTGATGTGTTGCCTGTAAATAATTGGTAGGTTCTTGTATATTAGACAATGTGTTTAGCATGTGCTGATTTGTAGAAGATAGTCCACTGAAAGATATACAAGTGGGTGTAATAGGTGTGAGAAAGCAAGAGTTGCTAACATCTGTGAGTTGGAGTACATTACAGATATAGTCCTTGAGATAAGATGGAGTTGTGTGTGGTCTGTTAGACTTCCTAACAAGAACATCCATCACAGGATCAGAATCCAAAGAAGAAAAGATTGGTGTAGATGTATATGATTGACTAGATGATACTGGAGAATCTAGAGACAACCTAGAAGAAGAGATGGAGGGAATAGGTGTGCTAGGATGAAATGAAGAAATGGGAGAGGAGTAGAGATCAATAGATGATTTAGTAGGCTCTTGGGAAGATTCATTGTGAGGTCTGCTAGCAGAAGGTGAAGTTTCAGGAGTATGGTTACTTACAGTAACTTCAGCAGTTGGTAAAGGAATATAATCAGAAGTATTAGACTTAATAGAAGCAAATGGAAAGAATTCTTCATGAAATACAACATCTCTGGAAATGAAAGGCTTTAAATTCTTAAGGTTCAAGACTTTGTAACCCTTTTTTCTATGAGGATAACCTAAGAACACACAAGGAGTAGCCCTTGGTTCAAACTTAGTTCTATGATTTGAAAGAGTGGAAGCAAAACATAAATATCCAAAACATCTAAGGTTAGAGTAATTTGGCTTGCTTTAAAAAAGAACTTTATAAGAAGTCTTAAGCTTTAAGACACTTGAAGGAAATCTATTGATCAAATAGGTTGCTGTAAGAAGGCAGTCACCCCAGTATGATATAGGTAGGTGTGATTGGTATAATAAGGCCATGGATGTCTCTAAAAGATGTTTGTGCTTTCTCTCCACAACACTATTTTGTTGTGGTGTTGACACACAAGTGGTTTGATAAATAATACCTTGTGACTGAAAAAATTCTGATTGAATGTTCCCCCATCCCAATTCAAAAGTATTATCTGACCTTATAAATTTTACCTTACTGTTAAACTGCCTTTCTACCATAGCTAGAATGTTTTTTAGAATAGTGAATGCATTAGATTTGTTGGTTAGTAGATAGGTCCACGTGCCTTTACTGAAGTCATCAACAATTATAAGAAAATACTTAAATCTATCATATGTAGCACTATTGTATGGTCCCTAGGTATCCACATAAATTAATTCAAACACTTTCTTGGTAGAAATAGAACTAGAGGGAAAAGAAAGTTTGGACTGCCTTGCCATAGTACAAATAACACATGGAATGGAGAATTTGGAACACTTGGATATAGAAACCGATGAAACATTTTTCATATTGCTAAGGGGCATATGACTTAATCTGTAGTGCCATAGCTTTTCCTTTACAATTGAATTAGAAAAACTAAAACATGAATGTAAAACATGGCTGGAAACAGAATTTCTTCTTGGAATAAAAACTCCTATAAACTTGGAGAAACTTCTAGGCACTGCAGCAGTATATTTGGATCTGAGAATGTAGAGTCCTAGTTCCGCTTTACCAATCTCCAGTGGGCTCTTCATTGAAGGGCCCTGCAGAAGGAAACATGAAAAGGAAGTGAATAAAACATATTGTTTGAGTTGTATGCACAACTTGTGCACAGACAAAAAATTATATTTAAAAGATGGAATGTAAAGAACATTTTGCAGAATTAGATTAGATAAAAGAGAAACAGTCCCTGAATGTGTGACTTTAACTTTGTAAGAATTTGGGAGTTTAACCATGAGAAGTTTAGGTAGGGTTTTCAAATTTATGAAAAACTCTTTGTTGAAAGACATGTGTTATGTTGCTCCACTATCCAATATACAAGATTCATCATTGATTTGAATTGAACAGGCAACATTTTCATGGAAGTTGGTCATACCAGCACAACTCATATTTGCTGTAACATCAGAGGTTCCTGCACTGTTTTGTCCCATTTTTACTTCCTGAAGAAGCTGCAGCACCTCAGCCACAGTTTCCTTGGTAAGGTTCTGAACTCCTATTGCATTTGTTGTTCCCTGTTCATTTTCCTCATTTGAGAGGAAAGTATTGTTTGCCTGGGCACCCACCTGAAACCTTTTCTGCCTTGTGAACTTGAAATCAGCCAAAAATCCATAAATTCTATAACACTTGTCTATGCTATGTTCAGGTTTCTTGCAATAGGAACAAGTACCTGTATTTCTCTTAGATTCAAAGTTTGTTTTCTGCATATTAAATCTCCTGAAGTTTCCTGGATGGTTTGTAGAAATGAATGAGGCAGATTCCTCTGAGTATGCAGAGGCAGCATGTATCTCCCTCTGTTTCTCATCTTGAATCATAAGAGAATATGCATGTCCAATGGAAGGTAAATGTGATGATAATAAAATGTTGCTCCTTACCCCCAATGAATATGTCATTCAATCCAATTAGGAACTGCAGTAGTATCTCATCTTGGTGTGCTTTCAAGCTTTTGACTTTTGTCCCACATTCACACTCACAAACACAAGTAGAATTTGTGTTGAGTGCATCTAATTCATCCCATAAGCTCTTCATTTTGGTGAAGTAAGTTGATACATTTGAATTTCCTTGCACCACTGAATTTAATTCTTTATGTAATTGGAATAGTTTTGCTCCATTTGTCTGACCGAATCTGTCTTCCAGGTCACCCCATATATCATTTGTACTCTGTGAGTAAAGAACACTCTCAGCTATTTCTTTGGACAATGAGTTGAGCAGTCATGAAAGTACCATATCATTACATCTAGACCAGGCTTACTGGATTGTAGAATCAGCCTTGGGGATAATAAGAGTATCATCAATAAATCCTAGTTTGTTCTTTGCAGACAAAGCAATGATGACTGCCCTTCTCTAACCTCCATATCCTTTTCCATCAAAGGTTGAGGATACAAGGTTCATCCCTGGATAGTCAGAAGGATGAAGATAGTAAGGGTGAGCAGAGTCAATCACTCCTGCAGCAATGGTGACTGCAGGTGCAGGAATATTGGTGGTTGTAGTACCAGAAGTTAAAGTATCAGCCGACTGTGGTGAAGAACTCATAGCAGACAAGCTTAGGAGAAGAAGGAAAGCTGATTTATGAGTGAGAGCAGAAATGGTAGCAGAATCAAACCTGCTCTGATACCATGAAAAGATTAAAAATGATTTGAAGGATTTTCCTCCTTATTGTATTCTGAAATTGTGTCTTCTGCTGTATATTACTAGGATTTTATACAAATAGAAATGCATCTAGGATTGCATACTATGTTGCCAAGTGGCAATGTCCTATTAGCTAGTACAAAGTTGTACATAAGATAAATATATGGATGGGATAAATAATTAAATACAGAGCTACTATATGTTGTGCACTATGTGAAAATAGAGCTGCAAAATGCAGGCCCATAAGTGGGCTGGGGCAAGCAGTCAAGCAGGCCCAATGCATTTTGTATTTGATGACCCAATAAACAGGCCCAAAATGATGGCCTCATATGTGTGCTTGTTCGGATTTGTGAATCAGATCTTGAAACACCCCTTTCATCTTTTTTCATCGTCTTCGACTCCAACAGATATAGGTAATTTCCACTCATCAAGATAATGTGTTATTCGTTCAATGTTTTGTTGCTTTTTGAATGAGATATTTTTCTAAAGATGCAAATGGTTGAAATTAATGAAGCGACTGAGCTATTATCACAACCCAAAATCTACTAGTCGTTTTTGATTTTCTTATTTTTGTCAAATTTTTTATGTTACATAATACAAATAATGCAAACATTTATATGACGTATTAGAATTTTTTTATATTTAAAACAAGAAAGCAATTAATGCACAAAATTTAGTTGATTTAAAATCCTAAATATATATTAGGGGGAGCTCTGTTGTACTACTCAAGAATGCACAAATAACACGAATAATCAATTTGCAATTAAATCGTGCGAATAACTAATAAAAATACTTTATTTATTTAAATAAAAATATAGAAAAGAAAATATGGAAAACTTAAAGTTCTTGCAACAGAATAAATAACCAAAATATTCGTGAGTTATGTAAGTAGTCAATCGTGAAGTAAATAAAAACAATCTTGAAGTGCATAATCAATTTGCAAACGAATTTCATAAATAGAGTTGTAGAGGTTGATTTAAAGTCCTAACATTATTAAAAATGAAATAAAACAAAAAGAAGAAAGAATATTGCAAATAAAGAGAGACAAAATTCTATTGATTTTTGAGATGAATTATAATGGAATAAAATTCCTTTATTTATAGCGGAAAAGTGATTTAGCCACAAAATAATAAATTCTCTAAGATATAGACATTCACATGGAATACAATTCTATTTATAATACTCCCCATTGAATGTCTATTCAACAGATAATGTGATTCGTTAAAACCTTAACTAAAATAAAACCTAGTGGGAAACAATTCTAGTAAAGGAAAAAAGGCACACATGTTTAGAAATACGTCTTTTGGTTGCCTTGTTAAGAACCTTGCAAGGAAATCCAGTGGGACAAAATTTTATAAGGGAAAAATCGTACAACGCGTATTAACTCCTCCTGATGAGAGCATCAATTCACATCTTCGAGCATTCGCATCCCAA